TAGAAAGGACTTGGGAGCAATGCAATCACAACACCACGGACCATTCAAGATCCTATCAAGGCTTAGAAGCCAAAGAAACCAAGTTCACTAGCCTTTTCCTTCTCAAATGTCTCAAAATACTGGTATATGATCGTAACAGCAAGCAAAATCCCTGTTCCCGAACCAATTGCCCCCATGAAATCTGCCAAAACAGTGAGTGCACCAATACATATGCCACCAAAAGCTGCTGCTGTAGGTATGTAACGGTTCAGCTCCTTCTGTAGATTGGATTCACGATGCCCAGGCATCACCATTTGTTGTTCCTGAAACAAATTTTCAAATACAAATCAGATATAAAATTGTTTCATATTCAGGCATTGCATTATGAAAGCAGTTCCTTTCCAAAAGAAACATCTTTAAGATCGTCCTCCTTTTCTTCCTTTTGCTTTCTTTATTTTCCAAGTCTGTTACCACCAGCTTAAAAATGGTTTATGAACTGCACAACAGGCAACATGAAAGACTCCAGAATGGCTGTGCAATCCTCCACATATTACAGATTACTTGGGACAAACAAAAGAAAAAAGTATCAATTCTTATGAGCACTTATTCATCATATGAATTCTCAGGCGAAGCACTTCTTTCCAAATAGTTTCTGGCAATAATAGCAGTAAACAAATAACATTGGTTATGCAGATAAAATGAATTTCCTTGTGAATCATACCTTAAGCTGCTTGGCCACATCTCTAGCAGAGGATCCTGACACTTCAATCCAGGTTTTTGAGAACAATGCACATGCTGACAGCATAAAAACAATGTAAAAAAGTGCATGAAATGGATTGGCTGCCATATCTGCCAAGCTGCAAAAATGACAACAGATTCAGTTAAACATGTAAAAGTAGGAAGAAAAATGCAAAAACCATCAACGCGTGTTGATGGATAGAATGTAGATTATAGTAATACGAGACTAGGCAGGGAGATCCAATGATCATGAGCCACAGTAATTCACCTTGATGGAGCAGTAATATAATAAGCAAGGCCTCCAACAGGGACTGTTTGGCCAGAATATTCTGATTCCTTCCACTTCCCCAAAAGGTTCACTAGGAAATTTCCACTGTACCTCCTGTACAGTAACTGGAACAACAAGAAGCAAGAGGCTCATTATGTGTTAAAAAAATAACAAATCTTAGTCAACTAGAGCCTAGTTGCAAAAAAGGCCATACCTGAGAAATGAAGTAGAGATTGGACACAAGAGCAGATTGTAGAATAATGGGCATATTGGAAGTATAGAACAGCTTGATTGGATATGAACCCTGCTGTCCACGGGCATTCTTAGACCTCACTGGCAAAACCACACGGAAGCCTTGGAAGTAGATCACAATAAGAAAGATCAAGACTGTGGCAAGCAAGTTGGTCACATTCGGAAGATTCTGCCGATAGAATGCTTCACGAAGTGCACGAACCTTGTCTGTTCGAGTTATTAGCAAATGGAATAGAGCAATTACAGCGCCTTCGAATTCAGCTCCACGACCACTGTTAATTGTGGTTGGGCTAAAAGCTTTCCAAATGATGTTTTCACTGTCAAAGCAACCAAAGGTCAGTTCGATCATCCATCTTAGGAGCACATGATAGCTAAATGCAAACAACAGTTTAGAGAAACTTACCAAATGTTGGTGGCAATGAAAAGTGAAATCCCAGAGCCTAGACCATATCCTTTTTGGAGAAGTTCATCTAGACAAATCACAATAATACCAGCAAAGCAGAGTTGGAGAATTATAAGAATTGCATTTCCAACTCCAAGTTGGCTAACGCTTCCATACATCCCTGAGAGAACATAGGCAACCGCTTCACCAACAGCAATAAGGATCCCCAATAACTTCTGTGCACCATTTCTGGAAGTCCAAAAAGGAAAACTTGTCAGAAAAATCATCAAATAAACTGAGCAAATTTATGAAATCAAGGACATAAACAAATCCTCCATATTTCCTAATAGCCTATAATCATCCAGCAAAGGAAACAAGTGTTTGTGTACAACATATTCTGTCTATGTATTTTGAGAAATTCAATTATAACATCAAAAACTCAATCCAACAAGACTTACAAAAGTGCTCGATCCTCGCGTACATTGTTATCTACTTCAATGATCTTTGAACCAGCCAACAGTTGCATAACCAGTCCAGAGGTGACGATAGGAGTGATCCCAAGCTCCATCACAGTCCCACGGTTAGAGGCAAGAATAACACGCATCCAGTAGAATGGATCTGCCCCAGTTGTCGAATGTATGCCATACAGCGGAAGCTGGCTGCATACCAAAAATATGAAAAGGGAGATCACCGTATAGATAACCTTCTCTCTGAATGGGATTTTCCTATCAGCACTCTGAACTTCGGGTAGAAAGGAGAGAAAAGGTCTAACAAGATGAAGCACCCTGAATCCTCCCCCCATCTTATCACGATGAAATGCACCAACTCAGCCTACAAAAAAGAAATTTTCAATCAAAAGCATATTCCACAGGAACAAGAACTCAATCCTAACAACCGAGTAGTTCAACGCAGAAACCAATAGACAGTTTTTGGAATCAACAAAATCAGGAAAAGTCAACACTCCAAAGTAGGCATATGTTGAATTTTTCAAAATCATTAGAAGGAAAAAAAAAACTAGAAATTTTAATATGCTAAATGTAGTCAATTGAAAACAGCAGCAAAACTTCTCTCCAGCTTACTACCAACAAAGGCAACATCCCATCTCAGACTCAAAATCAACTGAAATTGCTTAATAACACGATAAAAACACTCAAAAAATCACTAGCTTCCAAGATGCCCCAGGCCAAAAAGAAAAAATTGCAGCTTGTAACTTAAAGCATGCCAAGTGAAAACTCCAAATGAAACGTACGGGCTACTAATGTGAAAGCCCCCCAACACATAGGAAATTAATAATTTAACATCCAAAAGAAGAAAAGAAAAAAAAAAGGAACGAAAATGTTCTAAGTTCGCCCTACATCTTAAAGGTCTGTAATAAATTGACCCAGGCATAACCTGTATTAGCAAGAACAAAAGGCTGATTTTTACATAAATTTTACACATAAGAAACGACATAAACAAGACCGAAATCAGAACCAAATTTTACGATACAAGCCCGCTATGCGGCCTAAAAACAGCACTATTACTGTATCGATTCATCAGATTCATCAGATCTATCAAGTATCAAATTTTCCAGAGAAAAAAAAAATTAATGCAAAATCATTTCGTACGTAAACATAAAAATTCCCTAAATTCAGCTGTTGAATATACGGATCCGAATCGAACAATTCCAAAACAATTGCACGGTTTAATAAAATAATTAACTAAACCACTGAACAAGATCGGAAAACAGAAAAAACGATCACAGAAAACCAATAATTAGCGAAAAGAGATTGAGATTGAAGACCAACCTTGGGAAGAAATTGAGAAGAAGATTTTGAGATCCGTTTGTTACTGAAGCTGCAGAGATGATGGATGTTTCATCTGAAGCAGTCTCCGTTTCTCTTGCGTTAGAGGTCTACTTTGGCGATATAAAATGGGTGCCGACGTGGCAGGGCCTCCACGGAGCTTGTCCAATCATTTAATGACACGTATCACATGGATTAGAGTGAAATTATGCGCCACGTCCCTCGTATTTCGAGATATTCAGAGTTGTACCATTTGATCAGATTTTTGTTGTAATTCTCATTCCCAAACAGCCAATAATTAGAATTGGTCCCAAAATTGACAAATTCCTTTTACACTGGTACTTCGGCAGTCAGGTTAATTGTCAGATGATTTCATCATATTGGATAGTTAATCTTGCCCAAGCCCAACAAATAAATGCTTCCTATTTCCTATTTGCAAGGCCTTGCGCAAGATCCCAGTCCAAATTTTACATATAGTTAGAGAAGTATTGGGCCTCTAGCGTTGGAGATACGAAGTTCAGTTTTTTTGCATTGCAACGATAACATTCTTGTAACATAATTTATCATATTCTACAAAATTGGGGAGACTAAAGTCTAATAATCTATTCTATTTTAAGAGAGGGGGAGAAGTTTAAAGTATACAAACCTAATCTATACCACCTTTGAATTTTTCTTCCACTGTAAGTAGGGTTGGAATCCCTGACCTACGGTTCAAAGAGGGATTTAGTTCTTTTTTGGTGGCCACTTAAACCAAAACTGAGCGGTTTTATGAAGCTTGGTCTTGTTTGGGAAGGTTTGAGATCTACCCAATTGTCACTTTCAATTTTTCAATTTCACCATAAATGTTAACGTCTATACTAACACAAAAGAAGGTACTATACAAACATATTTTGGTCAAATTATACATTTGCACCACTACAACTCTTCTATTATTATTATTATTATTTTTTTTTTACAACTCTTCTACAACTCTTCTATTGTATTGTAGCAGAGATAGGAGATTTTCGAACTCGTGAATGCCCATTGCCAATCATTCAAAATTGTATTCCGGTGGACTGGAGCCTGGCCCAATTCCAAACAAGTACGGCCTTGGCATTTGGCACTGGCTTAACAATTTGAGAGTGGTAAGAAGACCGACCCCGCACAACAAAAAACACTGCACGTTCCCGCTGTTACCTTCTCTCCTGCCCCTGAAGTTGAACTGCCCAATCAGAGTACTTTTCCCAGTTTCCACTAAACTAAAGTACTAATCTCCATTCCCCGCCCAGTAAAAATTCTTTTACAATTACGTGAATGTGGGCCCCCAGGCCCCGGCCTCCGGGAAAAAGAAAATAGTAAAATTCTAGTACACTGACTAGTATTTATGAACATTTTAGAAAATAAATCCACAAAGTTGTGGTAATTGGAAAAGCTTGTGAAAAATGGAAGTGTGAAAGTAGAGTGTCAAAAGGCTGCCTGCTTAAAGAAAGTACTGAACTGAGCAGCAGCAGCAGGAGGAGGAAGGAGGGTCTGAAGAATCCATCCAGCTGCTCAGGTTTGCTGCAAAACAACGAACATGTTTTCTTCCAATCTGTCTGTTTTGCTGGGACTAGACAGACCCCCATTTCTTTCTTGATTTACTTCCACGGAAGTTTCTCCCAGAGATAACACCATCCTCTGCTTCTTCTTCTGATCTATTTGAAAAGCAAAGAAAAACAAAAAAGGGATAACACAGATAATACAGCCTCAAAAGAAACGGAAGATTTATTTTATGCTATCTGAGGAAAGGATGAAGGGTTCATTTTTCTTTCTGATTTTCTTAACTCTGTTGGTGGCTTATGTTCAATTTCAAGCTGATGCTGCTATCCCTGCTGGTACTACTTTTCTTACTTCCTCAAGTCCCCCATCTGCCCCCTTTCCCTAACATTATTGTTTTCTTATTACTGTTAGTATTAGTATTATTATTTTTGCCCATGTCACGTTTCACTTATTATGAACCAAAACGCTAATGTTGATCTTCTGTTTAAAAAACATGTATGTGTTGTGTACTGGCACTTGATAATTCAGCTTTATTGTTTTATTTTTGGCTCAGGGCCCCTGATAAAACATGTTTCATCCGTCCTCAAATGGACCAGGTCTTCCTCTAAATTGCCCCAATCTGGTAATTTCTCCTAGTTATAATTTCAATCCTAATTTTACTTCTCTTTTTGGTGTTTGAGGTTAAAGTTCTTATTCATGCACCATCTTTGAGTTGAACAAAACATGAGAGGGGAAAAGGAAAGAAAGAATGAACAAGGATGTTGTAACATGTTTGTGTATGCGTAGCTGTACACGTTGCTTCTTTTGTTTTCGATGTGAGAGGTAATGTATTTTGCGGTTTTCTGATTAACTAAAAGTGCAAACTGCTTTGCTTATAATTAATTTCAGTTTTCTTATATGGGGGTAGTTTGGTATATGTGTCTACATTTGGCTTGTATAACCATTCATTTATGGTTACAGATGGGAATGTGCTTCAGTTTGAAGATGGCTACTTAGTAGAAACTGTTGTACAGGGGAACGAGCTTGGGGTCATGCCTTACAAAATCCGCGTGTCACAAGAAGGCGAACTGTTTGCTGTGGATGCAGATAAGAGCAACATTGTTCGGATAACTCCCCCATTATCCCAATGTAACCTTGTTTCTGCTTCTTTCTCTCTCCAAATGGTGAGATTGCTGGTTTTTGTGATGCCTGAGTATCTGATTTGCTGTCTATGAATGGGTGAATAATGCAGATAGCAGGGCAAGATTGGTTGCAGGGTCATTTCAAGGTTACACAGGGCATGTGGATGGAAAACCAAGTGATGCTCGGTTTAATCATCCAAGAGGAATCACCATGGATGATAAAGGAAATGTATATGTTGCTGATACAGCAAACCTTGCCATTAGAAAGATAGGAGAATCTGGTGTGTACAATTAACAGCATGAGATTGATCTATTGCTTATTGAAATGGTTATTTAGCCTCGAGAACCTCAATCAGCAACTCTAGAATTTTAAATTCATTTCAGGTGTAACGACAATCGCTGGAGGAAAATCAAATGTTGCAGGATTCAGGGATGGGCCAAGTGAAGATGCGAAGTTCTCATCTGATTTTGATGTGATATATGTTCACTCAACCTGTTCATTACTGGTTGTTGACAGAGGAAATGCTGCCCTTCGACAAATATCTCTTGACCGAGAAGATTGTGATTATCAGTACAGCTCTGTTTCAGCTACAGGTTGGATTTCTCTCTGTCTGCTTGATTGTAATTGATTTTTATTTTTGGCGCTTCTCTTGTCTCATTTATCAATAACTTGATGTGAATTTTATGGGATGGTCATAGATGGATATTTTAATGGAGTCATGTTAACAGCATTATGGTTTACTTTTTTTTGTTTTTAATTATTCAGATGGATAATAGGCCAATCTTCATTGTTAGTTTCACTGGGGGGCTCCTCTAGGATAGCAATGACTTTAGTCGGAGGTCTGTTTTAGCAATTTGAAATTGATTTCTTATTTATGATAGCTAAACAATATTTATGTGGAGGATTAATACACAAATCATGCACAGTTTGAGTATATATTTTGATAGTGCATTAGCCTCTAGGAAGTTATTAGTTTTGGCAGATGCAATTGCTGTTATCAGTCGATAATTGAGTAAACTTCTCATCAAAATTTCTCATTCATGTTCATCATTGAATTGGCTTTGTCTGACTTTTACTACTCCAATGGACTTAGAGATATCTATTGATCTTGTCTTAATAAGTCCAACAAATATGACACACAAAAATTGTATGACTACCGATAAATCACTCAAATTAGTCTATGAATTACTTGCCTTTCTTGAGCCTTTTTGGTACTGTAGTGAGTGTCCAACTGACAAGGTCAGGGTTCTTATGTGGTTTGATGAAGGGAAATCAGTCTTACTGTAATTTCATATTTGATCACTGAGTTGACCTATTAGTTGACCTTAACAGGCTACATCAGAATGATGTGTGTTGGCTGGGGCAGGGGAGAAAGAAGAATGAAGAAGAGAAAGCAAGTTACTTTGTCGTACTTTAGGCTATTGAAATGTTGCCTGCATGTGGGAATATAAGAAACCGGCCACTAAAGTCCTCAAAAGTTCTAAAATGATATAGTACTAATCATTCTTGAATGAGCAAGCCCTTTTCTGATGTATTTCGTTCTTGTGCAGATATTTTGATGGTTATTGGTGCAGTCTTGATTGGATACATTTCATGCATGCTCCAACAGGGGTTTGGTTCATCCTCCTCCTCCAGAATGGTATAGTTTTTTTGTTGATTTGTCAGTTTCAGCTTTATCATTCTGATTTGCATTCCTGCAAGTAGATTTCCACCGGATTAGAGGTTGATTTCCTTTGGTACCAAAAAGCTGGATATGGTCATGCATTAGTTTCACTCTAAATGTATAGCCTAACCTGAAACAACATCTGCATTGCAGCAAGCAAATACGGGGTTTGAAACTCATGCAGACCAACAAAAGAGAGAAAAATCTGCCCCTGCGGTGGAACTTGTGAAAGAGAACCAGGAAGCTGCTTGGCCATCTTTTGGACAGCTCATTGGAGATCTACCAAAGATTGCATTCGAGGCATTTAGTGGCATCTTAACGTACCTCATGCCCTTCAGGTTTAGGCGCCGCAGTGCTAGAAAGGGCCTCACTCCATTGAAGGATTCTTTGATCATGCCTGAAGATGAAGCTGAGCCCCAGCCCCAGTTAGTTCAAAAGCAGAGAACTCTTGCCCCTGTGTCAGAAACCAGGCAGGCTTACACACCAAATGTTAGTGATAGATATTCAGAAGTGAAGCCTCCTAAGATCCGATCGAGCAGCATGAAAGATCCGTCATTGCCAACCAAGCACAGATCCTCTAGACGACAAGAATATGCTGAATATTATGCATCAGGCGAGGTTCCTCCTCAAGTTCAAGTGAGGTCTAAAGGTCAGAAGGAAAGAACAAAACATCGACAAAGGGATAAAAGTGGAGAGGTTTTTGGATCAAGCGGGGTGGAATATTCAAAACCTGTTGAAAGCAAGGCAGTCAACTATGGTGATCCCAAGTACGGTCCTTACAGCATGAGGAGCAATTATGGGGATACATTTCGTTTTGGGTAGGTTGCTTGCTAAAGTGTCTCAGTCCTTGTAGTTTAGAACTACTACTACCGTCTCTAATTGGTCAAGCAATTATGTATTGGTGTTGGAATGTCTATAGTTCCGCCTGCCCTTCAACTTCTTAGAGAAACAAAGAAAACAAAGGTTTTTTTGAGCGTTTCTTGAGCCTGTTTGGCTTTTGTCCCTTGCGTAGCATGATTCTATCTTGGGAGCCAACAAAAGACAAGGATGAATGGTGGCAGAACGTTCACCGCACCAAAGTATAGAAAGAAAATTGCATGTAAGGACTTGGTTTTGTAAATCGTCGGAAAGGGACTCAAAAGTGTTGTTGAAAAATGAAGTGTCTACCGTCTAAGAGGGGGAGGATCAATTTTAGAAGTATTTTTGCTACTATCGACTGTTGAATTGAGGGTACAAGGTAGGCTTAGCACCCTAAAGAAAATAAAGAATGAATTTTTTTTTTTTGGGTAACAAAAGAATGAAAAAGTTAATACTCCTCCGTCCTATCCTATCGTTAGGTTGTCTTGTTTTTACCTTATTAATATTGCAAAATAAGAGTTACCATCTTAAATTTAACACATGTACTTTTCAATCTTACTATTTAAAAAAGTAATTTTTTAAAATTTCAATACACATTTAATAAAGAAAATTTTACATTCAAAGGATACATTTATAAATTCACCAATTTCACTTCATCCAAACATAATATTAATGATTACTTTGGATAGCTTTTTATTTATCAGATATTATTCGATTGTATCATAAATATATTTTTTAACTATATTTTTATTTTTTTCAATCATCTTTTTATCTCGTGTATATTAATTATATTACAAAAAATATTACAATATTCTTTTAAAAAATATATTTAAAATAATCTCCTAACCAAACACACGTATATCCATAAAAAAGTTGGATTTTCCAAAAATAATTATAATAATGGTGCGGAGGGGGAGTATAAAATAATATAGAATGAGTGGAGGAGGAAGACCCTCTAGCTCTAAGGCAGGCGGAGTGACTTGCTCTCACATTGGCCATTCAAAATTTCAAAGTTGTTCCCACAATTAGCTACACGACTTTTTCAAAAGGAAATTAAGGGATCATTAAAATTCTCAACCACTGGGCCAATGGCTCCCTGACCACCAGGGAGCCCTCCTTGTACTGTAGGTGAGGGTTCAAATCTCATGTGTAACGAAAAAAATTTAAAAATTGTATCAGAACACTTCATTGATTTAGTTGGGTCTGTATACCCACTAACCCTCTACTACAGCTTCGTTAGACTCCCCCTCCCCTTTAAATTAGAATAGAGTAGATTATACAAATATATCGTTGCCGACAAAAAAAAAATCATTAATATTCTCATGTGTCATGTCCATGAAGTCCAAAAGTAGGAGACTTTGAGTATTAAAAGACGAATATTTTACTAATAAATACCAGTTGTAATAATGTATAATGTGTAGAAAAGAAAAGCAGCTTTTGCTTGTTGGTTTTTGCCATTCCCTTTTCCTCTTGATTGGTACATTAGAGGGTACAAAAGAGAGAAGAAGATAAAAGTGAATTTTAATCTGGAATCCAAAAATAATTGAATTAAAAACTAACAATAATAATAATGTGTTCTTATCCCCTCCAGATTTTTATGTAGCAACTAAGAACTCCCAGTCGGTGAGGCAAAGCGCAGTTCGAAGTGGGACGAATAAATATAATGGAGACAACAACAGAGCTCATCCGATCATCCCACAAACTTTTTTTTTTTTTTTTTTTTTGGCTGTCTCTCTCTCACTCTCCTCACGGGGAATGAAACATGACAGCCAACCACTTTGGACATTAAGCAATGGGTAAACTACACTTTATTTCTCTTTTTTTCCTCCTTTACCAAATTTGATGATCATTTCTTTCATGAGGGGTGGTGCAAAATGGAAGGCGTTAACTAGTCAGTGTACTTGAATTATTTTTGTAGTATTTTTCATGACAGGAAGAGTCACAAAGCTAAGCAGAAAACTGCAAAAAAGTGACCAAAGTTCAATTTGACTTTGGACTCTTTCATACGCATATGACTCAATTTAGTATCAAAAATAAAAAAGAAGAAGTAGTGAACAACTCCCCTCCCCCATGGCATGCATTCACCACAAATTTTCTCTGATACACATCTAAACTGACTATGACTTGTTGGTGATTTTTTCTGGGATCTGGGGACTGTTTCTGACTGTATAGTGAACAAGGATGGGGTGTGCTGGATCATCACAGGCCAAAGGAGATGGTGAGTCTTTGCAAGTTTTCATCTTTTTAAGGTCATGGTACAGGCATACTGTTTCATATTGTTTTTTATGATGGAAAATTCTGGTCTGTCTACTTTGAAATGTGCCTGGTTGAGAAGAACTCAGGGCATCTGTTTTAACTTGTGACATAGGACATGTATAAATCTGTTTGCATGCATGCATGTGTATTTTTGTAGGTGCAAGGGATTTTAACTGAGAGAAATGTTTGGATGAATTTATGATTGACAGTCTGTATCAACCAAAATTCAAGAAAAGAAAGAACAAAATCTGCTTATGGACTTTCATGCTCCATTTGTCTTCGTAGGTTTGCTTGATTATTTGGAAAAGAAGCTTCTTTCTTTCAAATTGTATAAAATAAGCTTGTCCAGACTTTAACAGGGTAAGGCGAATTCTGATCTAATTTTGAAGGCTTCGTATCTGATTGGGAATGGGTTTTTGTGTGTGTGTTTGGGTTGGGGTGGGGTGGTGGTGGCGGTGCTACTATTGGCTGAAAAGAGTCTCTATTCATCCAAAGATCAACTTCCTCTAGGTTGCTTTGGCAATTGGTACTATGTTGTTCTACTGTTGCTTAGAGTCCCCATAGATGCTGTACTAATTGATCCTCAGTACTAAAGCCTCCTTTCCTTCCAAGTGGTATGCATCTTCTTTGAAGGAGTTTAAGGAGTATTCAACATTTCAAATGCAACCGAAATGGAGGAGAATTAGGATTAAGACAGACCATTCTAGTCCCAAAACCCCAATGAATGATGTAAATGTAAATTATGCGTACTTTGGCTTACCCCCTTTTAGATTTTAGACCTTCCTGGCGAAGTTGCATATGCTGTAATCTAATAACAGAAAGCTAGAAAAAACTGAATTTGTGTCCTGTGAGCAAAGGAACCAAGTAGACACAGATCTTCAAGACTTGGTGTATGTGCAAATCACTGGGCGCTGTCGCGCAATTTGTCTTTTCACTCTTGTTGATTCTTGTGTAATGCTGATCTGCAGATGTCTGTGCACACGCATACATCTCTACAAGTCTATTAGCATGTGAAAGTTGGGATTCTGATTTTTTACCATATGTTTGCCAATCTATCTGAAGCCCAGGTATGGTAGTTGTGAAGCTGAACACGTTCGTTTACTCTTTGGTCTTTACAGGATCCGCGAAAAAGATTCGAAAGCCAAAACCTTGGAAACATCCACAACCAATAACGAACAGTCAGCTAGTGCAGTTGAGAGAAGAGTTTTGGGACACTGCTCCTCACTATGGTGGAAGAAAAGGTACTAGACCTAATTGAAAAATCACTTGTATTTCAACTTAATTTTGAAGATTCTGTTGATTTAGCAGAGGCAATATTAGCTGCTCCACTCATGATCCTCTTATCCTATCCAATTCTGTGGGAATTTACTGTACGTAAACTACTTGTGTACTCATTCTAGAAATTTGGGATGCACTTCGAGCTGCTGCTGAGGCAGACATAAACCTAGCTCAGGCAATCATCGACAGTGCTGGAGTCATCATCCAAAATCCTGATATGACGGTGTGCTATGATGAGAGAGGTCCTATTCTGCTATTTTTTCGACCCAACAAATTCTGCTACGTCCCTTTTGCTTTTATTGGTAGAAATAAGACTGGTGCTCTTCAAATTTTCTGAGCTCGTCTCCATTTGTCTTGCTGCCCTCCTCCTCCTCCTCCTTTCTCTTTTCTGATTTCTGTATTCACTGGCTCATTTTTCTTGCTAATCTGTTTTACAGGTGCAAAATATGAACTCCCGAAGTATGTTCTGAGCGAACCAACCAACTTAATACAAGAAGGTTAAAAAAAATGAAGGATTTCCTGATGTCAAACTTCCACATTCATTGATTTCAATGTAGATCGTGTAAATCTCCCTCATGATATTACACAAGTTTGTTTACTCACACCATCCTCCTTTTTCACCTCGCTTCTTCCTCGTTTGTTATAGATTCAAACACGAAGAAAAGCAAAGCATCATGTTTCCCTGCTTTAAAGTGCAGTATGATTCATCTTTTACACTTTATTTATTTTTGGGGGTTGTGGTCTGCGATGGGCGAGTCTTAATAGCTTGGGTATGTTAACATGAATGCCAATTTTCAACTCACCGTTCTACGCAAGTACAATATTTAAATACCTCTGCCTTCCCCATAACATGCCAACAGCAAAGTAAAAGCCAGGAGAAGTGCCCTTAAAAAAGCTTGAGCTGGTGAACATGCGTGTATGAGCATTTCGTAACATTTCTTGTTCAAAATGGTAAGCCACCAAACTCCCTAACTGTCTTTCCTGATTAGCTTTGAAAACTGAAAATCTCATTGTTCACCAAGATGGGTTAAAGTTCCTATCAACTAATCAAGAAACTATTCTTATGAAGTCTAAGCACAGCCAAGAAGAGGTAGCAGAACTATACAAACATTTGAAGAGAAAACCATGAACAAAGGATTATCCTGACAAGAAAGCATGCGCGAGCACGACAAACGCCATGATTTTATCAACATAGGAGCATAACTCAAAGAACCAGACAATTGCAGCAGTTTCTAGAGCAATCTCCTTAAACCCTCTTGAAAAAAGACAGAATATTCCCTTGTTTAGGATCCTTGTTCCCTGCTTTCTTACTTCCTGTTTTGCCAACTTGGTTTAATGGAGCATTAGCAGTTACAGCTGGTGACTTCTTAACAGCAGATGGTCTGGAAATAAACCCAACAGTATAAGTAGCTTATAAATCTGAATTAGGAGAAATGGAACATTAATGACAGCCAGAATGAAGCAGTTTTTGAGCTGATTATCTGTAAAACACCAAACATACACAGTCATACATGTGTGGATGTCTGCTACAATATAATGCCTCAGAACTGCCAGCAACTTGATAGTTGACAAAAAGCATAAAACTCCAAGCTCTATTCTAACATTGTCCAGTAGTTTTCTCTTCAGAAATAGCAAATATAGAACGCTAGATTGTACTCAGAAACAAAAAGGAGAAACAAATAACAAAAGAAAGATGAAAGGTTTGGCATTTGAGATGGAAGAGGCATACATATCTAATTATGCAAAAATCGGCATCCTAAAGTATTTA